ATTTATCAACAGGTTTCCGAGTGGTGAATTGTTCTATTGAGATCGCTGCTCGGCCGACCACAAGCATTGTGCTATGGAATTCGTAGTTACCAGGAATCTTCTGGAGGTTGAGGAGGCTCAAAGGGGATGTTCCGTACTCAGATTTAAGGGCTTCCGAAACATTATTCGGCACCTTAACATCTCCATCGGCGTCCATATGGTCCCATCTAGTTGGGAAGTAGTTTTCATACAATCCACAAGCATTATGTTGCTGATGACGGCAAGTAACGATTTTACTCGAGTTGAAACCAGGGCAATCCTCACAAGGATGATCGGGGTCGGAGGACTGAACTAGCTGAAAGATGTCCACATGACAAGTGACACTGTCAGAGTAGTGGATAACGCGGAGTTCCGATAGGTCACAGCCTTCCCACTCATTAGGGTCCAATTCGGATCCGACACCGAATACGATACCAGCCACACGATAGCGGGAATCATCGGGTAGATACTCCTGTAGAAGGGATGCCATGTTCTTATGATGGGTGGTGGCGTGGGTCGAGAAGGCCTTCCGACAATGGCTCTGCATGATGAGGAGATCGCCATCGACATCCCAGGGTATATGATTCTTATCGTGTCGTTGCCAACCTAATAGGGTACCGTCGATGATGGTCGCATCGACACCCAACCTGTCCAATGCATGTGTGGTGACGTTGATCACCTCCGTTAGACACTTCAAAAAATCTCCTCTGCCGTTGAACTCCATAAGCTCATCATAATCCATACAAAGTGTACCGTTGATAGTAACCTCCTCTGACGGCCAGGACGTTAAGTTCACACCATCTGTTACATTCATCGGGCAGAGGAATAGATTCTCCGGTGGCGCGGTGGCGACCAACTCTTCGGGGAAAACATGAATGAAAGGGTGTTTTCCAGAAGCCGTTACCCCACAGCATCCGAGAAGGGACAATAGCAGCTCTACACAGCGTAACCACATTTACGGGATGAAAGTCCTAAACAATGCCACACACAGCATGCGGATCTTTCAACGCACCCCAAGCTGTGCAATCTTCCTTTATATCCAATACTTACACTTGAGACCGCCCTCCCATCGCAAAGGCGCGGTAAAACACAAGCCTTTTATTAATCTCATCCCCAACACTACACAATCGTTTTGGAAACAACATGGTAGATTTCAACGAGACTATTGCACCTGTTATACCAGTCGGGAGAGTTAGTCGACGTGGAACTTAACAAATGAGGAAGGTGTCTCAAATCCATGTTGATTTCAACAAGCTCTGAAAAGGTGTACATCTTCCCCAAGGCCAAAAATGATGTCACTTCCCTGCAACTGTTCAATCTCAAATTAAACTGAGTATAGTTGTTAACCACTTGGGAAACCAAGGCAGTAGTTAAAGGAATCTAGAGATTCTACCAACAATCATACTCATGAAACCATCCACTTGCTTCGAGCTAAGCTAAGATTCCGTAGTGGTGCACACTGCACAAGTACAATAGTGGAGTTTCATCTGTTTCTCGTGAAGTGGTGAAAAACGGGATATTCGCGGTATGCAGTAGTCGTGAATTATATTATTGACTAGCATTTTTCATATCACGGGTGAAACTCCAATATACTCAGTATACAGCTGGGACAATACAGCGGCACTTAGTAGTGTTGAACGACATAATGCAGGGACTGTTCGTTCCCTGCTATTCGCCAATATCATCCGCGAGGCGATTTTTCTCGCGGACCATCACATACCTACCACTCCTCATCATACCATCTTTCCATCACTTTCTAATCTATGTATTCACTATTCTTCTGAAAATATACGGGAGGCTATTCCAGCTAGGAACGATTATGGTACAGAACTCACTTCTGAGAAGTGATTCGCAACGCGATGCGCTTTCCGAATAGGAGTTTTTCTAAATGGGGCGCCCGCTACTTATTTTGGTTTGTCAAACACAAGAGTGGGTGGATCGATGAGTGCTGCAATGATAGAACTGCAGTCTCTTCCTATAGGGTTGTAAAAGCATTCCAACGCTACTACGACTTCCCAGCAGTATTTGTTGTACGAAACTCAAATTTTATTTTTCTTTCATGATACCACAATTCATTGCTGTTGTTCATGCGTGCTGGGGGCCGCACAGTGCGGTACGCTATCGGGACTGAGTGTCCGCACAATCCGGGTTGAGTGTCCGCACCCCCGGAGAGTGTGCTTAAAACCGTGGAGTAGCCGGGCTTCCGTTGCCCAAGAATCCTTTAGACATCCATGTAGAATCCCAATGATGAAGATAAAAGAACCTGGTCCGAAGTTGGCAGATTTCTAAAGAAAAGTGCAAAAGACTGAATTCATCTTTACGGATAATAACGCGCCTCTCGCGGAAGTGATCACTATAACCAGATTCGTGTGTCCAAGCCTCTGGGTTGACTGGATTAAAGCCTACCACTTAGGAGGCGCATCAGTTACCTACATGCATGGTGCAACCCCCTCATGATCCGTGCTAGCCGATGAGGGAGGGTCCCGTTCGAGTGCGAGCGAGATTCGTCATTAGGTCTTAACACTTTTTTTTAGGAATTTGCCAACTTCGGACCAGTGGCTTTTATCGGCATCATTGGGATGCTACATGGATGTCTAAAGGATTCTTGGGCAACGGCGGGCCGGAAGCTGGCCTACTCCAAGGTTTTGAGCACACTCTCCGCCCCGAGGCCGTGTGGTACGTAAACGCATAATTTTCCCCCTTTCCATATAGCGAGGTGTAACACTTCGTGGAGACTATCTAAGTATCACAGCCACTATCAATGTCATCACCGAGATCGTTGAGTTCACCTGAGTCAATTCAGTCAGAGTATGAGTTAGAGGGAAATACAATCCTGTGGTAAGTTAACACAAGCAAGATAGAAATGTAGATAAGTCGTAATAACATTGGAATGGAAAGAGATAAGATTACAGCTTAAAGGCTTAATACAGCTTAGCTCAAACCGACCAGTATGATATAACCAGTATATCGATTACCATGGCGAGCGCGATTGTCATCATATCACAAATCCTCCTCTCAACTAGCTGATCTGAATGCCACGTGATCCTACTACCAACATACGTTATCTATTTCCTTCCTACAGGCACATTAGTGTGTTTGTTTCTTCATGGTGTGGGGATATCTGTCCCTGTGAGAACTGCATAGGGAGGGGTTTGTGCAGAAATGTGTAATTTGACGATTCCCACTGTTAAAGCCTCCCAGGTTACGAACGAAGCTTGAAGGGAATTCATTTTCGTTGTTGTAGTGTTGTTGTTGTTGTTCTCACACTTCTCGGATGTTAGCAGCGTTGAGACGAGGATGGACAGGTGAGGTTATCCCGTGGTAGAAAACAGGGAAGAAATTGTCGGCTTCGTGGGAAATGACTATAGGGATTTTCATTTATGGAGGGACTCGGAGGACTGCTCTTATGGAGCAGTCGATGATCTGTTGAGGAGGTTCCCACTATAGTCTTGATTCCGAACTTTGGTGTGCTATTCATACGCCGACGCACTAGCATAGCGTCACTACACCATTCCAGGGTGAATGTGGCATGCTGGCAGCATTTATGCTCTTTAGCTAGTCGGCGTGTTCTTTAAATAACCATCTATTTCGCGTGAATTTTGGGCAAAACAGTGATAAGGTGAGCGGGAGTATTTCTGAAAAAAATTATATATTATTAGAAATTATGTCAATGAGTTCACCCAAGCTGCAAACGCCCCAAGT